GGGTCGCCTAAGACCCTCGGAAAACATATAGAATTACATATTGTGTTTGTGATTAATCACTATGCTTTCATTATCTTCAATTTGTAACAATGAAAATACATGCTGCCTATCAGATATTTACATGACGATTCGTAACAGTAGCAACATGACAGTGATGAAGTAGCAACGAAAATAATGTTATGGTTGGGGGTCACCACCCCATGAGGAGCTGTATTAAAGGGTCGCGGCATGAGGAAGGTTGAGAACCGCTGCTTTCAAGGGTCCTCCTGCTGCAAGAGGTGCAAAGCAAAAGAGGGGGACCCCCTGCCGTCTCCCCCTGCGTTTGCACAAGGCAGAGCTGCCCAGGGGGCTGGGGACCCAGGACACCCCGGCCTTTTTTGTTAACGGACACACGGGCAGTAGGTCAGGCCGGACGGGGGACAAAGCCCCACTCTCCGGGCTTAAATCAGAATGACCGTCCCAGGCGGTAGCCACTGTCCGGGTCCCCCCTGGGCGAGCCCTGCCTGCGGTCTTTCCAGTCGGGGTGGCAACAGAGGCGCCGACCCCCCCGACCCCCAAGCCTGGCCATCACTGTCAGGCCCTGCCAGCTCCAGGGGCCCAGCATTGCCCTGGGGGTTGGTGAGCTCCTGGGGCCGTGTCCCCTCTGGGTGCCCCAGTCCCAAGCCCTGTGCCCAGCGATCCCGCCCCGCAAGTCAGACTCAGGGAAGGCGAAAACAACGCCTCGCTCTCTGGAATGTGACCAGCTTTTCTTTAAAAAATAAAATAAAAATAAAAATAAAAAAATATCAGGGGCAGGAAGGCATTTAAATGTCACTTTTGAAGGAAGTGGCCATCCGCCCTGGAAAGACTGGAGTGACCACCCCAATGCAAACCTGCCCACCTGCAACCGGAAGGGGCACCCCCTGGCTTACCCCCCTTCCCACCCCCGCGTGCATCTGGGCCGATAGACAAACGCTAAACTCTTGCCCTGGATGAGAGAGAGAGAGAGAGAGAGAGAGAGAGAGAGAGCGCGCCAGCCCTTCGTCCATCCCCAGCCAGAATCCCCTTTCGATTCCACCTTTCCTTTAAGAAACCGGAGAAGGTGTGCAGGAGAGGTGCGGGGGGCAGGGAAGGGCCCCCCAAGACTGCCCAAACTGGCCCCGAGCGTCTCCAGGGGCGCAGGGACGCGGGGGCGGGACCCCAGAGCTGCGAATCCACCTGCGACAGAAAACGTGGCGGCCCCGCCACCTTCTCCGGCT